GATGTTAACAATGTAAACAAGGAAAATAAGTAGGGCAATGTGGACACGATGTAGACTCGATATCTTCCAACATTTCAATATCGACGATGTGAACGATGTAAACAAAGATAAAGACAAGGCAATGTTGACACGATGTCGACTCGATATCGACCAACATTGCAATGTAGAAGATGTTAACGATGTAAACAAGAAAAATAAGTAGGGCAATGTTGACACGATGTAGACTCGATATCGTCCAACATTGCGATGTCGACGATGTGAACGATGTAAACAAGATAAAAAGAAGGCAATATTAACAAGATGTTTACATTATATTGGTTAACGATGTAATATATACAGATATAAACAAAGGTATTACTGTCATGTTGAATATGTTATGATATTAGAAGGACTAGTATTCTTACAACGATGTCGACAATATCGAAAAAACATCGTGTACTGGACATACCTCCTAAATTAAAGCCTACTGCAGCGGGAGACCTCGATTTATCTTATTTCAATGATGACACATATGCTTTAATACATATTTTGATTTCATATCATTAAATAAAATAAATAGGCTTTTTTTAAAGAATTAAGTACGTTAGTTATTATACGGAGGCCCAGTATTTTCCGTAATATAATATACAGGTTTGCCAAAATTTTAAATCTATGTGCATGTACTAGATGATTGGTAGTTTTAGAATATGCGAAGCAAAATTTCCACACTATGTCATGTAGACGTGTAGACCACGTTTAAAGATCCGTTTTTTCCGGATATTGCTAGTTTTTCCACTATTTTCGACAGATATTTCTAAAATTGAAGTAGTGCACACCCCTCGAGCAAAATAAAACACGTATATTTCAAAACATTTTGATGAAAGACAAATGAAAACAGGGATAAGATTTTGCTCGAGGAATGTGCAGTATGTTTATTTTGACTTTACAGTACTATTTCCGGTGACGGATTGAACGTTCATTGAGAGGTGTATTTTTATTTATGTGAAATTATATGACCATAGTTCATACAAAATGTTAATAAATTATTAATCCATGCATCGGCAATGTATTTATTTTTCATGTAAGTCTATTTGTCAAGAAAAATAGCATACAAACTTGAAAATACGAAAGAATAATACGACTGATGACGATGGGCCCTGGGATGTGAAGGCCTAACCTGCATCTGACAAACATTTCCAATATAGGATCAAGAACCAATGAAAACGCTAAATTTAAAAAAAATCAGTTGATGAATCGTATTAGCACAGAAGAAGAAAACGGGTGTATTTTATTCCAAAGGTATGATTTTATTTAAAAAAAACTGAGAAAGTTCATACAGCTACCGTCAACAGATGTGAATAAATTACGTAATGCTAACAATGACGTCACAATAGACCCCATTTGATTTTCTTATTATTTAATTTTTTTATTCAAAACACTTATAATATAAAATATAATCCTTTGCAAAATCTGTTCAAATTAATCAATATTCCGAAGCCATATATTGTTGCATTCTTATATAAACACACATGTATATGTACGTTACGGATGGATTTTAAAATACATGTATATCCTTCCCACAGTCAGTTGGTTAATATATATATAAAAAAAAGATACTCTGAAAACTTTGATCAATATTTTATTTCACGCTCTATATTTGTAGCTTGTTGCTCATTGCGCCTCTAGATAAACTTTTGAATGCACCAGTCTAGTTTATATTCCACGATGAATTAACAAAAAAGGCATATACTTCACCTGTTTTTTTTTTAATTAAATGAAGATTACTAGATAAACTAAAAATGACTGTAATTAATTATCTGTCAGGAAACCTTAATCGTCAATAAACGACGGAGTTGGGAGCGACATATAAATTAAAAAGAAAATTCAAACACAAAACCGGGGGGGGGGGCACTTTGGATGAGGAGGATCGTTCAAACAGTTATTGTAAAAAATAGGGGGGGGGGGATATTGCAAAGAAAAAATACTCAGTGCGGCGGCCCTTATAGATATACCGGAATTGTCACTCCTGATCAGTCCCAAATTTCATCTTATGTTTTTGTGTCTGGAGAAAAGAGCTGCCTGTACAACACATATCAGATATATAGTTCCCTTTGTTATTAAAAAAAAATAAGCGTTTAACAAACTTTCTTCTCATTAATCCGTATCCATTTGTAAGTTATGATCATCATCTCGTAAAGGTATATTTTTAAGTATAGGTATTCTTTGTAAACGAGTGTTGTGCAAAAGAGTTCAATTAAATTTAAATGCAATGTTCACAAAGTACTTGTATATTCGTTTAATCACGAAAATCCTTGCTTTCAAGCCATAAACGGCATGCAGACTAAATAAAATTAAACAGATCTTTCTATTTGTTTTGTTACCTTATATAAATATCGGAATTCCTGTAAATTACACCGCGTTTCATAGATACTCAGTATCGCAGATTTAAAACAATAATCTTTTTATTTATTTCCGGCTTGGATAAAAAATATCAGACACAGTTTAAAAGTCAATTTAACCCACAGACACTTGGGGATATTTAAGTTCAAATTCGTGAAAAAAAATCAATTTGAACGTAGATAGCAAATATCATCTTAATCTACACTTAATCTCGTAATTTTTTAAGCTCAGATAGGCCATATTTAGCTTTAAAATTTAGTTCGACTTTACATTCTCAATCAAATTAAAGTGACAACTTGTTCGTGTGAAGTTATATTTCTAATCAGAAATATACAAAAAGAGATTCGAAAGTGTTACATGTATATAACAGGCACGTAGCATCGCTTTTGAAAACGGGGGGGGGGGGGGGGAGAGAGAGAGAGAAAGAGAGGAGGCAGCCAGAGAATTTTTGTTACTCACCTGGAAAAGTTGACGAGCCAAAAAAAAAAGCATTGCCAAAACTAGAAATTCCTATTTCGTGGGGGTGGGGGGTAGCGGCCATTTTTTTTTTCAGGTGCCGAGTTCTTTCAGTACAAATTTTTTGCATACAATACTACATTTCCCTTACATCACTTTACCATAGTAAGGGCTTGGGGCCGACCAGCTTTTTCAATAAACAATTTCAAGAGTAAAAGTAATGTTGGGAAATAAAAGTGCCCCCCCCCCCCACGTTGCTACATGTACGTACCTGTATAAATCTGAAAGAATCTATATCCCACATTTTGATTTTAAAGCATTATTATGTCAATGGAAGATAATTATTACTCATATAAAGATGTTTTACCTCTCGCGAATTTTTCACTCATATGAAGACGCCACAATTTGCAATGAAGAGCAGTTCTGGTTAAAATCAGATTTCTTTTTCGCTCCGAGATTCTGATGGTGTAAAGCAACTATAACAATTTCGGAGCATAATAAAGAAATGAAATAAACATTGAACGCAAGTCGTTAAAATCACCAAGGTTAGATATATTTGCATTTAGTAAACATGATGGCAGATCGGTCTGCAATTAAAGAATGTGCATCACATGTGATCCAAGAAAAAAAGGGGGGGTCGGTTTCGGGAGGGGGGGGGCTACTAACCATGATTCAATAATGCTGAAAATCGTAAAGGTGGATTAATGATTTCAAGCGACTTTTCAAAACGGAAATTTTCAATGCTTTTTACTACCAAAAAAGAATCGTAGCTCCTTTTAATGTTTTTTTTTTTTTGCATATCCTGATGTTCTTTTTTTGTTTGTTATAAAAGTTGAAAAAAAAATGTTCACGTATGCATATGTATTCTCAAAAAGTAAAAGCCGAAACTGAAAATTGTGTTTTGTTAATTTATATACATGGTATCAACAAACTTCAAATTAAGATAACCGTCTTTATTATAAAAAACCATCATAATAATGCACGAACAATATCGTATGCAGTAAATTCATACATGTATAATGTATGTCCTCGTGTTTATTTTCTATTTACAAACTTACACTGTATACACACATACAAAAAAAAATGAAATGAAAGATATATCGTTCATTCAGAATTTTAAGATTTAATCGTGATAAAAAAATTGGAATAATGGACTTCAAGCTAAAAATTATGTTCCATTGACTTTCTTGCTGAATCGTTTTCTCCGAAAAACTAGTAAAATCAATGACCAACAAAATTTCCAGTAAAGAAAATAATTTTTAAATTCAGCGAAATTTAAACTCTCTCCACATCTAAAAAATAGCTCACAAAGGAAACAGAAGAGTGGGCTATCGCTTTTTTTCAGTTTAAAATTTATTCTTCTTTTACGCTGTATCGGGAATAAAACGTTCAAAATCCGATAACGTCAAGTTGACGTCATAACGTCATTGCGTTATTTTCTTACGAAAACTACCTATATTTAAAGAGCTCTCTCGGAGAAATGGTTTGAGATAATAGCAAAAATTAAAATGACTTAGGAAGTGTTCACCCTAGACATGTTTCATGAATAATTTAATTAGAATTTGGGACTGGGCGGATTTTTGCTCATACCGTACTTTCTTCTTTGGAAATAAAAAAAGGTTTATACCTGTGATAAGATGACAAATTAAAATTGTGATATATTAACATTTGAACTTATCTGTTAGTCCCATACATGTTACTTTTTAAGTTTACGGATTTGTATTTGTGTGTGTAAATTTGTGTGTATATCTGTCTGTTTTTCGAGACAGATTCAATGTCAATTTTTAACTAAGCTATGTTCATTGTATGAAAAAGTAAACTCTTGAGTGTTTAGGTTTTGAAGTACTGATTGCATTTTGTATGTTCTTTTGTATTTGCTTATTTTTGTGAACCGTATAATTGCATGTAGTTTTAGGAATATTTTGGTAGATATTTTGATTTGTTTCTATTACATGTTTGGATTGTTGATCAAGATTCATTTGATCAATAAATTACAATTTCAACATACGTGGTGTTTATGTTATGTTGAGGTAAAGGAAGGAGGAGGCATAAAAATAATTATATATTGCGGGCGAGTTTTTTGCCGCGTCTCACATACAATCATATCTGTTAAAATGTTGATTTTCTATATTTTCATATTTTCTTTTTTCTAGCTGATATTTCAAACATATGAAATTGAATATTCAACCTCAAATGAGAGCAACTGACAATTGCAAAAGATTACAAAGTAAACTTACAATGTACGTCTGAAATTTTTCTGTTAATTCAAATACTAGTAAAAAAAAGTTTAGGATACATAATTATGTCACCTTAACAGGCCACAATAAAAATTGATATGTTTCTTTTTTTCTACATATTTCATCGCATAAGATATTGAAGAGAATAAACAATATTGTGAAAGTATATATCTGTATGTTTGTAATTGAAAATATAAAACTATTGCAAAACTTCTTTGTGTTGTAAACTACGATACTAAGAGGCTTTTATTTCAAACTAATAGACTATCAAATTTGACGAAAGATATCCTTGAGCTGATTAGCTAATTTAGTACGATCCTGTTCATGTAGAACTTGTGTGATCTTTAGATTTAAATATATACTCTAATTTATAAATTGCAAAATTTGTTCCATATTGCAGCTTGTTTTAAGGGCAAACATGGACTCAACTAAAATTATATGGATATTTATCCTCAGCTTCTTTAACGTTATAAGTAAGCATTTTGCCGTTTTATTCATTTTATTTTATGACTCATATGATACATTCATTTACAAGTTCTACATTGAACACCTTTGTCTTGTTTATTATTATTTGATCTTCAAAGAAAAGATAATATATATTTTATCATCATATTGCTATTGCATATAATCATATATATGTTACTTTTTGAAGATACTAATATACAACCCCCCCCCCTTCCCCCTATCGACTAGTTGACTACAATTTCAAATATAATATTGATTTCTAAGGTGACAAATGTAATGAATTCATACACATTGATTGAAAGAAAAAAAAGTAGCTATAAAAATACTGGTTGTTATAATGGAAATAAAAAATATCATTTCCTTTTCATTATTTTTTTACGTAAAATAACATTGGCAATGTGCATACAAATACAACGTTAACATTTCAGTGAGGTGAAGATAATAAAATTATCCACAAAATAGACTTCAAAAGTTAAATACACAGTTAGACGATAGGTTGTTTAAATCTCTAGACCATGGCTTTAGATTAAAGAAAACTGTTATAAATACATCACTATAAGAAATAATGAAATAAAGAGAAGCACAGAAGAACATCACTATGTAGATACTTCCATATCAAAATGAACATCACACTGAGGCATCCTCAACAATGCACACTCTCAAAAATATCATAATATGTTAATGCTGAATTAATCATTACTGGAACACTTTATATATAGTTTAAAACAAATCTAATACATTTAATACTTAAGTATACTATGTATATACCACGACATATAATTTTTTTATGCAAAGATCAACTATATAATTACCTAATACATATGTATTACATAGGAAATGGCATGATATTGTTTAACTCATTGTTGTAGGAGACAATGCTGTGTCAGCAGCTTCCTACTGTCGCTATTCGTCGTACTACACGTACTACTACTGCTACTACAGACCCTGAGACGTGCTACTACCCCAAAAAAGCGTGTGGCTTTCGTGCGCTTTCCGTTTCGTGCAAACCGTGTAGCGTTTCGTGTAAACCGTGCAGCGTTTCGTGCAAACCGTGTAGCGTTTCGTGTAAACCGTGCAGCGTTTCGTGTAAGTCCAAAGCGTTTCGTGCAAACCGTGAAGCGAGCGTGCGAAAAGCGTGTGAGAAACGTGCGACTTTCGTGTAAGAACCGTGTGAGAAACGTGCGACTTTCGTGCAAGAATCGTGTAAGATTCATTCGGAAGTCATTTCATTTCAAATATGGCTATCGATGGGTCAGGATGTAAAATTCTATTAGTATTTTATAATTGAATTAGTCATGCTTGTGATATTATAGGAGTAAAAACAAAAACAAAAAAAATGGAACCACAAAATGAAATTAAACGGTAATGTATGATTTATATTTGTTTGATTTCTTTTCCTTCTATAGAAAATGTGTTCAAATAAATCAGCTATGTACAACAATTTTAAGGACATTGTATTCAATATACTACATGTATCAACGCGATCGTGGCTTCTTAAATATTTTTTCTCAAAGAAAGAAAGAAATACCGGTAATATATTTTTTTTTAATTTAAATCAAAAATATATCAGGACTCCGCTCTTGTCTTTACATTTGAAACGATGTGTCATTTCATATCTTTTAATACATAAAACTTGTTGCTCATTATTGTCAAAAAAATGGATTTTATAATTTTAATTCACATGCACTGACGACCATATCTTTATAAACGACGGGGGGGGGGGTGTTAAATTAAAATACTAGTACAGTCTTTCATTTTTTGTTGTAGCTTTCAATCTAATGTTAGTTTAATTAAATGCTTAATTTTCTATTCTTGTTTAAATTCGTTGTTAAATGTATGCGCAGATACACCCCTTAAAAATGTATTGGAATCTTCTTTCCGCCTTTCAACTGTGATCAAGGTCATTTACAACAGCGATCACGGGCTCCGAGTGCATTGCAATTGAAAACCTGTTTTGCTATATGTACTTGTAGAGTTCACGGCTTAATGACACCTGAAAATTACGACTAGATTTTATTTGTTTTTTTTAATAAAATGGTTCTATAAATATTAGATAGGTACAACTTATAAATCAGCGGATTTCATCTTTTATTTGTAAATCCGAATTTCTAGCTGTAAACAGTAAAGAATAAACGGAACTGATTTGGTAGTCTTTTTATGAATATCATGTAAGAAAAGCTTAGGAGTAAATCATGAATAATTGTATATTATTTGTTTTATAAATCACGTACTTTTTATTTCATCTAAGATATTTCAGTTTTCTTGTAATATACCTGAATGCCGGTGTTAAGATCGATCTATATTGTATGTACAATGTATTGTCAAATGCCGCGACTATTAATAAATGTACACATATAAACATACGTTTAGTCCTGTTTTGAAATGAAGGATTTTACAGTATGATGGGTATACTGATGTTATTTGATAAGCTTCATGTAAAAAGAGAAAGAGTATAGAATAGATTAATAGATCACATTACCCCCCCCCCCTTTACCGGTTTCCCTCCTATTGATAATGCTTGCGTAAAAAAAATCTTTAAAAATGTATCAATAATCGTTAGTAGAGTATATAGACAAATTTAATTTATAATTTAAAATCAAAATCACAAAAAATAATCCGCCTACGGAAATCAAACACAATATAATCAATATTATTAAAAATCAATGAGTTTATATTCCTGCGGTGAGAAATCGAATTTGTGTTCAATTTATTAAATCAATTTATCAAATTATACTCGTAAAAATATTACATTGAAATGAATTTATTAACTTATGCCTGTATATAAAATTGTATTTTATTAAACAGTCATTCACGATATCGGCATTTCGTTTTTAAACAGTTGGATAAATAAATAAATAAATTCGAACTGACAATTATTTATCAATTAATTACAACTGTCAGAGTATTAAATATTTCTATCGGTTTTTATAATACAAGTGTACTAAATTTAATTTAAACAGCTGCTTAATGTGGCTTTTTGAGCGATTTTCATTGAATTAATGATAAAGCGGTAAAAATGCCCGAGATATTCCGAGTAGAAAAATCCAAACCGAGGCCAAACCGTGCGAGAATCGTGCACAAAGCGTGTGAGAAACGTGTACAAAGCGTTTCGTGCAGCCTTTCGTGTAAACCGTGCAGCCTTTCGTGTAAAGCGTTTCGTGTAAACCGTGTAGCGTTTCGTGCAAACCGTGTAGCGTTTCGTGTAAACCGTGCAGCGTTTCGTGCAAACCGTGTAGCGTTCGTGTACCGTTCGTGCAGCGAGCGTGTGGGGTAGTAGCACGTCTCAGGGTCTGTACTATTACTACAGTGACACCGGTACCATTGGTGGGGCAGTAGCAGGGGCCATAGTTTTCGCAATCGTGGTTGTCGTAGTGATCATAATCATCTACAAGAAAAAGCATCGGAGCACCGTTGTTCACAATGTGGCCAGTCCCAATACAGTAACCACAGGTAATGTTTACCCTTGTTACAATCACGTTGAAGATAACGACCAGTGATCGATATGAGAAATACGTAAACAAGGGAATAAACAAACTGAATAAACTGGAAATAACAGAGGTGGGATGGGGTGCCTTAATAGAGTTAGCTTCCCCTATTAATCAGTCACATCCGCCATAAGCCATATGTTTTGATCAGGTAAAGAAGTATGAGGGAAAAAACAATTCATTCGACAAGAAATAGAAATATGTTCAAAATATCATCATACGTTATTTTTTAAAACGTCTACAAAATTGACATGTCTCATTTTCATCAAACATAAAACTGGGTATTTCTCATAAAATTTAAGATCTCTGTGTTTTTTTTTAACAGTCCATGTTGAACACGGACATGGGCCGCCACAGCCCGGCTACGGACAACCACAACCAGGCTACGGACAACCACAACCAGGATACAATCCTTACGGACAACAACCACACTACGGTGGAAACCCTGCCTATCCACCACAATATTAACATTACGAAGTCAAAGGAGTTAATTTAAGTCTTCTGCCGGATTTATTCTGCTTTATGTAAAGTCTATTATTACTTTTGATTGTTGTACTGCTTCAGATAAACTTTTCTGGATTTTCATGCTATTTGCCAATAATTTTCTTTCCGACTTGCATTGTATACCGTATTAACATTAAGAAGTCAAAGGGCTTTCCCAAGTCGGACTTGTTTATATTTGAAACAAATGATTCATATTTATTCTTATTAAAATATATCGTATACTGTTTTGTACTACTCTTCCATCAATTAATTGTGTTTTGAGAAATAAATCAAACTTTATAACTTTTCCACATTGCAAAATATAATATTTTTACATGTTTTTTTTTTTTGAAGAAAACATTTGTTCACACACAATTCATCCAAACATTCTTTAGAAGAATTATTCTTAAAGAGAATTTTTTTGTTTGTAATTTAGAAGGAAAGTTGTTATCTAGATATTTTTATCGTCATATGACAAGTTTATTGAGTTTTATTGTTGCTTTCTTTTTAATTTGTTTTTGTTGAAAAGAAATGATTCTCCTGAAGTCATTGTATTACATGTATAAGAGTCAATTTAAATTTCAAAATATCATTAGGAAAGAATGTTAAGATTTCTGCTGCTATGGAGTTAATATTTAAAAGTAAGTATGCATTCGTGCATTTACTTCCTAGGAATAAGAAATTAAATACGCATATACAAAATTTTTATGTAAATTATTTTCAATTTCATCATACTTCAACGATTGCATAAAAAATATGTTGAACAAAAGAAGATTTTGCAACATACAGTGTATATTTTGGTGTCCCTCCAATAGGGATTTATACGTAATAATAAAAGGTATAAATTGAACTGTTGACAAGCAGCC